GCATTGCAAGCGAAAAAAAAACAATACATGCAGGTAAGTTTAATTTTTAATCATTCAGAAGGATGATACTCACTGAAAGTTTGGGTGAAAGAGACACAGCGCGATAGTCTCGATAGATTCCGGATGTTCAAAGGTCATCGTGCAACCCCTCTGTAAAAAACCCATGAGAAGGATCAGTAGATAAATTCTTGCCGTTGATCCCAAGAAATACATAAAGTACATGTGCAGAATGACAGGTAAATACATCCAGAGGAGGAACAGGGTGAGTAAAACTTGCCACGCAGAACAGGCACTATGTTGCCAGATGAACATGAATAAATTCACAATCAAGAAAACAGTACACAATTCTCTTCAAATCATCTGAAACGCGGCCGCAACTAAAAGGCCACATAAACGCCTAAGTTCTGCGTTGAGGCCCATGTAAACACTGGCGATGTGAAAGGTCGCTACGTCCTGGTAGGGCAGCAGAATTTTAAAAGCGACCAATGAGCAATCGTGACTAGGAGGAAAGGGAGAGGTTGTTTTTGAACTCTCGCTGATCTACCAAGGAGCAGATTAATAAACGAAAATGGATGGTTGTCGGCTTTCACGTACATTTCTACTAGTGGATACATGAGAAAGGATACCAATCGGTGTCTACGGATAAAGGAGAAACGGATTATATGGTTGGAATTCAAGTCCAAAAAACCGACGGCAGGTGAGGTTGAGGATTGGGAGTATTTTCATGGTAGACAAAAAGGACCAGTTCCGTCATAGGAACCAACGAAAAGCATCAGACAGGCGAGAGATGAGACACAATGACTTAACAGGTCCATTTAATGATTTTGGAAAAAAGCAATATTGCTTATGTAATGGGGCCTTGGAGGTTTTTGTATTGTTCTTGAAACAACAATGAGTGAATTTGAAGTAGACAAAATCGAAATACAAAGGCCGACAAAGTAATTAAACTAAGACCAATTCAAGAAAACAATTCACTAATCGAACACAAAAGCTTGTGGCATGCATAAGGAGAAACTGATCACACACAGTTTCCAAGTTTTCGGGTCGGAAAAATTTAAGCAGTTATGTATAGAACTTTTCACCCCAGCTCCTATTACAATTAGCTTCCAAGTGATATTTCTATCCTACTAAATCCGTGTACTAGATGGTTCCCTATTTCTTGTATTTCAGACACACTTAGTAATCTAATTAGGTTTCAAAATGTGCCAATAAGTTTTCTAAGTGTTCCCCAAGAAAGTGCACCTTTAGTACCTGATTATTAAGAAGGGCACGATAACATTTTATGCCCTGGTGAATTCCGTCTAAGACAGAGTCGGCGAAACCGGCAGGTGCTTGCTTCCTGGTCGTGGAACGACTGTGCCGTTTACGGCCCTGGCAGAGGTAACTCCTTGGAACATCCTCGTTGCCGTCGCTAAAGTAGAGGTGAGAATTGTCCGCAGAATACACGAGGCCGTGCGAACAATTTCTTCGGCGGCAGGTGGTAGGAGGAAGGGTATTCTCGTCCCTACGCAAAATGAAGAGATGACAACATGAAGGGCGTTAAAGAGCATGAGAGGGCTTTCAAGACTGCGAAGTATGCTAGTGTTTGCTCGTGTACTGACTAAATTGCTCTAAAACAGGGCGCGCGGTAGATGGGCTAGACCAACAAGGGGACTAGATCGGAGTCCGACAGGCTTTATTAGGAATGCGTATTCATAACAAATGCCAGCATTTGGGTATGGTGACACACCCAGTTGCAGGGTACGCCGCGCCAATTGGGATCCAAGCAGCCCCTTCTTGGTTATAAAATCCTGACCAAAGTACGTTGTGAACCATGGGGATGTGGTAGTACGCCTAGGTGCGGAGTTTCCCGTACCGGCAATCTACGTTCTCTCCCGCCTTTGGCCTTGACGCTGTCTTCAAACTAGGTCCGGGTGGTGGAGAAAGTGCAGTAGATGCTGCGAAAGTCCACTATCACCGCAAACTAGTTATTGCATAAGTCCCCGTCCCAGCCCTCACCTTGCTGTAGAGCACGCATTGGACACAGTCGGCAGCGACGGTTGAATAATCGAGACTGAATAAATTCGCTGACAAGTACAACCCAACTTATATTGACCACGGGAAGAAGATAGTTACCCTGTCTTTCATGCCAAAAGCGGTATAAAAAAAAGTTAGGGCGAGCAGTAGAGTATCTACTTGTAGCATTACGTTACAACTAGCAGAGTACGGCTTACCTCAGAAGAACGTGAATAGATTTGGACAAATAATCCTGGAGTGCATCAAGACCTCCACTGTCAAGAAATTCGTACACCCAACTAAAAGGCACCGAATGTGGAAATAAAAGAAGGAAGTTCGTACGAGACATTGTTTGTCCGAAGGGAAATCTCGGTTGCAGAAAGGACGCGCTTCGCGGTCTGTACCGCCCCCTTCCGGGACTGTAGAGAGGAATTATTAAATAAAGTTCATTTTACTTTTGGTAGGGAGATGCGCCCACTCCGAAGGCCTTTGATCAGTGTCACGGAATGAAAGGCTGAACATTTTGATGAACTCAACGTCTTATTTGAGGACAATATAATAAGGAGATAATCCTACATATGACTGAAGAAGTTGTCGCTTCTGGTCTTCCGGCAGCTGGTTGATCCCCTGGGCCTTTTCTGGTCCCACATCAAGCGACTGTATGAAGCTGTTCCAAGTGGCATCCCCTTCGCCCATATCCACAGCCATTATTTTGTGTAATAAAATCCGTTAAAGGGTTCATGCATCACTGAACAATAAGGGACTCTAAAAAGCAGCGTAATAAAGGAAGAAACGTTACCAAACACCAGAAAAGTGAAAAGTCATTGTCGGTTTAAGAGCTGAGGGTGGAATAAGCAGAGAAAAAGGCCTAGCGGGCTCGCCGTGCGTAAGTAGGGGAGCTTGAATCTACACAGCGACATGGGTCAATAATTCAGAATCTGAAACAATCTTGAAAGATAATTCCGCACCTGAAGGAAGTAACATCATGTTCAGTTGAGGAAGCCTAATCTAATGTCTGTAGCTAAGACGTGGCAATAATCGCCAAATGCTATTCTGGAGAAGGAAGATCGCGAGAAGGTGCAGATTTGTTTAAGAAAGCAAGGGAACTGCTGGACAAAAATAAGTTTTCAGCACGAAAATATGCCGCATTAAGCAAATAGATGTATATAGCGAGCTCAAACACGAAGGTCTGCATTTTAAACTTTCTGAGAAATATTTGTGTGGGCCGTCGGATGGAGGTAGGACAGAACTTCATTTCTCGAAGAATACCAGGACATGCTTTTCAAAAAGATATAAACAAACTTAAAAGGCATAAAAATTTCTTGCGCTTATTTTCAGACTTTTGTCTGCTAGGGAATGTAAAAGTAAACTGATCCTAAGGAAGCAAGCTGTTAGATCAAGCGACATAGCTTCGGTGATGCGAGGGGCCTATCAACAACACGATCTCCGAACATCTAAGAATCAACTAAAAAGTCTCGCAATAGTCACAACTGCCTGCTGATAATTGATTCAAATAAAGAAGAAATTGCTACAGAAGCTGATTTTCCAGACACAAATGCTAGGATTTATGAAGTGACAAGAAGACTAAGAAATGCATATGCACCATAGTCCTGCAGGACCCAGACGGAAATGATTTCGAGTACAACTAAGTAATATGCGAGTAGAACGAATTCGCTACAAAAGAATACACAGTTAGACAATTACGCACCGACTTTTCTATTCTTTCCGGCTACTATATAAATATAAACGGTTCAAGTCATGCGTACACACATGACTATATAGTCATGGTTTAATAGAGCCGTATACGGTGCAAAAACAGTTTTCTCTTAGCAAGCAATATATAAATATTTGTTAAACCAAATTAAAGAACCACTTTCTACAGCATCGGAAGAACTTTTGAGGGTTTAACTGATTTTGATCTTGCGACAAAGAGCGCGATAAAAATGACGTGTGTTAGGCCAGGTGGACAACGACGTGAATATAAAGAAGTTAAGACGGGATAAAATTATTTATGCTGCAAAGAAAATAAGAAGTTCTGAGCAAATGGGTAAGAGTCGATAGCCGTGGCGGACTACTGTCACACTACAAAAAACAACAACGCATACACAAAAAGATCAACCGTCTTTTTGAAGTTGCTTATTATCGTGAGCGCATTAAAACTACTACTGTCTGATTTAAGGGCTATTGAGAATGTCACTTGCGTTTGAAGGACTCAGTGGTTCCGAAAAAAAATAAATGTCTTAGGGCGATCATCACGATCAATTTGCAGTGTCTGGCCGCTAACGGCCGCGGAGTGGAGACGTGGAAAAATGCGACAAACCAAGTTCTCCTTCTCGGTTCGAGTGGTCAAACCATGTAATGCCCTATCCGCAGATGTTGTGATGTCACAAAGTTTTAAAAAAACTTGAAATAATTATGTTCCGAAATGGCCAAGAGCGATGAGAAGTCGATCTCATCCCTGTAACTCGTTTCCATTTTGTCCTACCATTATGGGTTTGTTTGAAATATTTCAGTCCAGAACACTTTTCTGGATAGTTCTTTTTTTTACGTTGCAAATAAAGAACTCAAAGGCTTGCGCCTATTTCCTTTAATAAACTGGACTGAAGTATCCCGTGACTGGTACCTTCCGCGGGAGTTAACTTCCGGAACCCGGCGGTGTGCCTGTCGCATAGATGCCAGCTTCATATCAACTTAAGGCCATACTTAATGAACTTATCACCAGATACTGCCCTATGTCGAAAAAGAAAATCACCATCAGACCCCGATGGCTAAAGGGTTCACTAAAAGTTGAAGTAAACCGTAAGCAAAAGCAGTGGAAAGCATATCTTAGGGACAAGACAACTGAATCAAGAAATAGGTACAAGGCTCAGCGGAATAGGGTAAAGTGCCTTGTCTACAAAGCCCACCAAGACTTCGAGTGTAACCTTTTAAACTGTGCAGGAGAAAAGCCAAAGCTTTTCTTCAACTACATAAGACAAAGTACTCGCAACAGGGATCCCATCCCTATGCTAAAAACTGATGATGGCGTTGAACTTTACAAGGACGACGAAAAGGCTGAGCATCTGTCCAGGTTCTTTCAGTCGGTTTTTACGAGAGAAGTCGCTGTACCCACTGATCACTGCAATGTGGACAATGTCCCGACAATTGACTCAGTGTTTCTCACAAAACCTATTGTTCAACAGGAATTACTGAAGCTAAAAGAAGGAACTTCGCCCGGTCCTGACGAAATACCGGCAAAGTTGTTGAAGGAATTAGCCACAGAATTGGCAGAACCTCTGAGTCTCCTCTTCCAAGCCTCTCTTGATGCAGGCAGACTGCCTCCTGAGTGGAAGACTGCGTGGATTTCACCGATTCATAAAAATGGCAGTCGCGCTTCCGCAAATAACTACCGACCAGTAAGCCTCACCTCCATATGCTGCAAAGTTATGGAGCGAATTATCAAATGCGAACTGATGCGGTTTTTAGAGCAAAATCATCTTCTGTGCGATGCACAGCACGGTTTCCGCAGAGGGAGGTCCTGCTTGACCAATCTACTCTACTGTCTTGAACAGTGGACCCGAGCGATTGATGAAGGAAACGTTGTGCATGTGGCCTACATAGACTTCAAGAAGGCCTTTGACAGCGTGTCACATCAACGTCTCCTAAACAAGCTCAGCCGCATAGGGGTAAGAGGCAAGCTTTTGAAGTGGATTGAAAACTTTTTGGTCGGTCGGTCCCAGACTGTTCGTCTTGGTGGCCAGCACTCGGCAGAGGTGACGGTTACGAACGGAGTACCTCAGGGCTCCGTTCTTGGCCCTATCCTCTTCCTCATCTATATTGATGACTGCATCCATGGATTGGACTGCAAAATTGCCATGTTTGCTGACGATATAAAGCTTTGGACCGTCATCCGCAACGAGGACGATGAAGCAAATTTACAGGCAAACTTAGACCGACTCGAAAAATGGTCAGGCCACTGGCTCCTCCCATTTAATGTTACCAAATGCAACATTCTGAGGATTGGCAGAACCAGCTCTGCGCACCGGAAGACGTATTACCTAAATCACACACCGCTGCCACTGGTAGAGGTTCAGAAAGACCTAGGGGTGTGGATAACATCTTCACTAAAGCCATCATTCCACTGCTTGAAAGCAGCAAAATGCGCAATGTCCAGCTTATATCTCATTAAGCGGGCATTTGCCAAGTTCGACGAAGAGTGCTTTCGCAAGGTCTTCGGGATGTTTGTGCGCCCACAGTTAAGATTTGCCATTCAGGCCTGGAGACCCTGGACTGTTAAGGATCGTACCACCCTCGAAAAAGTCCAACGACGGGCAACCAAGCTTGTCAGAGGTCATAAAAACCTACCTTACGAAACCAGACTTTCAAATCTTAACCTCTTTCCCCTGGACTACAGACAACTCCGTGGCGACTTAATTCAAACGTTTAGAATGTTACGGAGTCAGGACTGCTGCCTCGCATCCGGCGACTTCTTTGAGCTGGCCACCACTACTAGCTTGAGAGGACACCCTCTGAAACTACGTGTGACAGGAGCGAGACTGGACGCAAGGAGGTCCTTCATCAGCCACAGAGTGGTAAAGGCATGGAACGCCCTGCCTGTGGATGTCGTCATGTCCTCATCCGTGGACTCATTTAAAAGAAAGCTTGACCAGTACAGGGATATGTACCTCCACAGCATCAGAAACTAACGGATTCCCCCCTGTGCCACCCGCCACATCCAACGTTTTATGTTACAAAGCATGCTACTCCCTATATTTTAGTAACATTACGTTTTACAATGTTCGCTATATCCTGACCGCCACATATGCGCTTGCTTTGATATTACTTGGTCCATTCAGTACCGTACTGGATATTGTACAATTTTGACATAGAAGGCATTCACAGACAAATTCATACCAGTGACCAATGCTTGTTGTATGTAATTACTTACCTAATTTTTTTCACACTTGCCTTACACATTGTTTTTTTTATGACGTTATTGTAACCAAAAGGGAGTTCAAAGGCACTCGCCTACTTTTCTCTTAATAAATCTGATCTGATCTGATCTGATCTGATCAGTCGCGACAAGTGTTTTGAGGTCCTATTTCGTTTTTTCATGAAGCCCAATTCTTACCTGCACTCTAGCGGTCTGCGGTCCGAGGCCTGAACTTAACACTGTGGATGCGCTGCCCGGACAAGCATTAAGCAGTTTACGGTAAATGTTCCTAGCTGTAGAATATTTGACAAAGTATATAACTTAAAGAGTTCATTCACGCCTGCAGTAATGAGAACCGAAAGTAACAAACACGGGTTCTATGAAAAACAAGCAGTAGATACCCTGTGACTTTTAATGGCATCAGCACGAGAAAGAGGTTTGAGAACCAATGAAGTGTTGTCATACTCCCCTGCGAAACAGATTAGTAAATAGCCAAGAGGCGATGTGGAAAAATAGTTCTCGAAATAAACGCTCAGCTACGACCTGATTTAAGAATTCTGTAAAATCCTTAAATAAAGCCGTGGAAATCGCTTTTTGACTTCAGATCGCATAACATCACTATGATATCAAAGGCAAAGTTAAGTGCTACGAGCATATTTATCGCCAGTTCTCACGACAACATCATTTGCATGAAAATTCATGGGTGTACGAAAGCAGTACGTTGACAGTATAATCCAGTGTATATGGGGGACATAGGCAGTGCAAAGCTGTTGGCGACGATGTCGACTATAAGCCCCACTGCAGGGCGAGCAGAGGAACAGTGGCTTAGGCATAACTCGTTTTACGGGGGTTGGAGACTTGCGATACATCGACCGCACTCTCCTCCCTCCACTTTGAGCCGGTGTCTATAAAGATTTAAGAAGACTGGAGGGGGAATAGGGTGCATTGGATGACAAGGCCAGATAGGCAGCCTACGCAAGCTACACACGGCTTTCCCACAAACGGTGGCTCAGGATTTCATCAAAACAACAGAGGGACGGCAGGGATCCCAACTGAGTTGAAGTGGAATAAAGGCCACATTGAGAAGAAGCCACTGAATCATCACTCTCTATCCTAAGTAAAGGACGGAGTTACTCCATAAACTGGCAGCATTCCAAGCTACGACTTTTAGCACTTCATGATCGACTCAGACGCGTCGGATTTTTTTAAAGAGAGGAAAATACATTGTTGGTCAAACTCATTTTCTCTTCCCTCGCCCAAACACCAGTCTGTCGTCCGGGCCGGCCAGTTGCTGCACAAGTCTACAACCACTATAAACTAACTCACGACCAAGTCACCGTCCCTGTTCTCACCCTGCCATCGAGCCTAGAGTGGACATCGTCGACTACGACGATTAAATCGTCGGTTTAGCGGCCGCGGCGATTATTTCACGAATGACCGACCAGGCCGGTGGGTGAGATGAATGCGAGGGCAGTATCGGCAGAGTTAGTTAGGAGCTGCTGATTCGATTGTAGTAGTGAAATTGTTAGTGTATGAGGATTTGGTAGCGCTGGAGATCGGAACGTTGTCGGATGTGAAATGTAGGGTCGGAGTATTGTCATTATGCCTTATTTTGTCCTGTTCGACATGTATGTGACCCAACCAATGGAAAATTAAATGAAAAATTTTTATTCGAGACCCGTGGGGGTCCTGTCATAGCAGTCTTGTCAATAGGCGCGGTCAGCGAAGACGAATATAGTGCGTGTATGCTAGGGCTCCTGACACTGGTTCGCCATATTCGGATTCGTCAGTAACCGGCAAGCCCGATACGAGACGCGAATTTGCAATCGCAATAAGAACAATTTGGGGTCTGGTCCACGATGTGGTAGCAGGGATAGTAGTCATGGTGATAGAAGTAGTAGTAGTAGTGGTAGTAGTAGTAGTAGTAGTAGTAGTAGTAGTAGTAGTAGTAGTAGTAGTAGTAGAAGACGGTGAAGGTAGCCGCCTCGACCGACGGGCTAAACCAGGTGCGGATATCCGTGAGTGCATCTCCACATACTGTAATTCTGCCCCTTATTACTTTTTCGTACCTCCTATGTGAACTCCTCCGCACTTCGCTCCCTTTTTATCTCTGCTCTACTCTACTGTTTTACCCTTCGAACGGAAGTCCTACGGTGGGAGCGACATCAATCACGTAGGTGGTCTATGCCACTGGTCAGTCTCCAGCCAAATCCTGTAACCCATAGAGGAGAACGGTTTCCGTCTGATGTGACAAAGCAGTCCTATTTTGGTGGGAGTGGACTGCTTTCCTTTGCGAGGTGGAGGGGGCTATAATAGGCGCCCTAAACAAATCTGAGTTCACGAAATCTGCACGCAGACCGTGGCTCTCAGACTGTTAAACATGCGGTAGAACACAAAACAATACGATATCCTCTCTCTTCTTCTTCCTCCTATTCCTCCCCACTGCCCCACATCACAGGCAGCAAGGGTGAGTCGGCTTACTCTGGCCGCCTGAAGTGTTCGTTTTCTTTTAGGTAATTCCAGGCGCAACCAACCGGAATTAGAGGCAGCGCTAGTCGTTTGGGAAGTGATACGCCACAAGGTGGACATTACTGTGCCCAAAGAGGCCAGATTCTCCAAACAAGGTCAACTGGAGGGGGTAAGTGCCAGCTACACTTTCTGCTAGAGCGGTCGCCATAACTCAGAGCGACTTGACACGGCGTCGTCTTTACCATCTGGAACGAAATTATGGGACAAACGCCCTCTCTAACGCAGGACACCAACGACCGTTTGGTGTGTCTCCGTTGGCCTCTCCGGAGAGCTAAATTCGCCATCGTCATTGGCTCCTACGCCCTAACAGTGAGCGGCTGAGGTGAGGCAAATAAAAAGCTTTACGAACACTAGCACGTCCTCTTGACGTCTGTGTTAAGCGCCAGTAAGTTGATTGTCCTCGGTGCTGCCTGGAGAGGGGGCTGCAACGGCAGTGGCCTCCCTCTTAGGCGGACCTACACTAGGCGCCACCTCCTGCCGAGCAACACATTCTTCTGCCTGCCGATGCTGAAGAAGACCACCCGGATACACTCTTGATCGCGGAGCTGGAAGCTGCTGGGCTATGCATTCGTTAGACTGCGAGCTCGGCAGGATGTGATTGTGACCAAGGCGACCTACGATACCGGTGGCTGGACGGACCACCGCCTCGTCATTTCAAGATGAATGTCGTCTGCAAGCCAGTAGGAGGTCACAAGGCAATAGACGCCCGTGTAAGCTGAATACAACTTGGTCAATTTTCCTCCTCAACGTTTGCAGTTCGGCAAACAAACAGAACATCTGCTGGCAGCAGATGAAAACGCCTCCGTGGAGACTCGATGGTGCCGATTACGAAACGCCGTCTACTCGACCGACCTGGCTGTCCTTGGTCGCGCACGTCGCCAGCACCAGGACTGGTTTGACGAAAACGACGCCACCATCAGTAACCTGCTGCCCGAGAAGAATAGACTGCATGGAGTCTACCTTGATCGCCCAACCGATGCACACAAAGTGGCCTTTTACCAATGAGGTCGCCTAGCTCAGCGATGTTTGCGAGAAATGCAGGACTCACAAATGGCTTCAACTGGCCCTCTATTATTTTCGACGCCGCCATTGACCGGCTATCCAAAGTGGAACTAATCGACCACCGGGACCTCCCGCCCTCCCTTCCGGAAAACTTTTGTGCTGTGCAACAACTCTCCGGAGAGAAAGCATCAGATTTCGACGCAATCCCGACTGTGATCTACATGCGCGGTTGTCGCAGTCTGATGGACAAACTCGCGGCGCTATTTCAGAAGATGTCGCGCTATGAACAAATTCCTCAGGACTTTATTCATGCAATCTTTCTTCACCTCCACAGGCGCAAAGGCAACCGGCAAGTCTGCCACAACCAAAGGGGCATCTCACGACTCAACTGCACCGGGAAGATCTTCGTCCGGCTCCTCGTCAGTCGCTTAGGCAGACACCTCGAGCAGGGACTCCTGCCAGAAAGCTTCTGTAGTTTTCAACGACACCGGGGTACCACTGACAGTAGGTTCGCCGCTCGACAACTATAATAAAATGTCAGAAAGTGTGAACCCACCTCTACACCATCTGCGTGGACTTGATGAAGTCCTTCGGCAGGGTGATTCGTGCGGGGGGTGTTGAAAATCATGCAGAAATTCGGCTGTCCTGAGCATTTCACGCACATCGTCCTCCAGCTCCATGACAGCATGACGGCGCATGTCACGGACAACGGCGCAATCTTCGGGGTATTCGTTGTAACCCATGAAGTGAAGTAGGGTTGCGTACTCGCTCCCACCCTCGTTTTCTCTGCCACCCTGATGGACGTCTACCGTGATGAGCGCCCCGGGATACACAGGCTTCTTCTCATCAGCAGGAGCATGCAAACCCGAACGCGGATATCTATGGCCACGTTCAAAGATTTGCCCTTCGCCGACGAATTCGCGCTCAGCACTACGATCGAAATGGACATGCGAAGGAGCATGGACCTCCTCGCCGCTGGATGCGCCAACTTAGGCCTGAATATCAACACGGACGAAACAGTGGTGGTGCATCAACCACCACCCAACACGTAACAATGATCTCCATCTCGAATCACTGTTGACGGCCGCCAACTCAAAACCAGGACAATTTTGATTATCTCGAAAGCATCAGAATCGACGATGAGCTTGAGCATGGGATCTCTGGAGCCAGCCAAGCATTCAGCTGGCTGTACAACTCTGTGCGGAATCGACATGTCCTCCAACTGAATACCAAACTGAAGATGTACAAGGCCCTCGACCTGACGACACTCCTCTACGGAGTAGCGACTTGGACCATCTACACCAACCATGCTAAGAAATCTAACCACTTCCATCTCAGCTGCCTTCGCAGAATATTGAGACTGAGATGGCCAGTCAGGGTCCCCAAAACGGAATTCCTAGAATTGACAGGCATCTTTAGCGTTCACGCTATGTTGAGGCAAATGCAGTTACGTTAGAGCGGCAATCTCGTAAAATGGAACACACACAACTAACGAAATAGCTCTCCTATGGTGATGCTGTCACCGGTGCCTGCCGACCTGGAGGACAAGAACGACGCTGAAAGGAGACACTGAAGAATTATCTTGAGCGGTTACATATCAATCCGAATACTTGGGAGGACCTTACTCAGAACAGACTGACTTGGAGAAGAGGAGTGAAGATCGGCGCTGCCATCTACGAAGCAAATCGGGTCGCCGGACCTTCAGGACAAATGCGCACTAGCCCGACAACGTCTACATCTTCCCTCACTCTCGCCCCTCCCGCCAACCACGAGGCGACCGCCACTCGCGTCAACTCCAAGCACGTTGTCGCTGCTCCGCCGCCGCCACCATCCGCCCTACCCCAAGCCCTGCATAGACTGCAGCTGCCAGCATCATCACCACGTCTTCATGCACCCCCCCCCGCTGATGGGACGACGTCCGACGTCTAATCAACTTCAAACATGGCAAATCGGGCAGTCGTCCAAAATGTATTTTTGGATTTCAAAGGTTACGTCAACATCGCATTGTTCTGCTTTGGGTGGCTGCTCCTGAAGAAGATGTAGTTTGAATCCACCGCCTCCCCCCCCCAGTTGCTGTTACTAATACATTAGCTGGGCAATATTTAAGTCACATCATTCTTTGTGTTCTCGATGTGACCGATATCGGTAGTGAATTGTGAGATGTGGGTCCAGTTGTGCAATCTTTCTTGGATTGTACGTCTCAGTGTGGGATCGAAGGGCAAACACCAGCGACCTATGGTCCGTGAAAATAGTGAAGTCAAGGCCTGTCAGGAAATGATGTAAATGTCTCACAGCTAAGTGGATGGTATGCAGTTGATTTCTTTGCCGGCGGGTTCTTAGGAGAAAACCGGTGGCGGGGTCAAACCAGCGAAGTGCTGCCGAATAACTGTGCCAACAGCTACTGTCGAGGCATCAACCATCGGCGACAGAGGATCTTGGGGAGCAGGATGCGTTAACAATAGAATCCTTGATCTCCGGAAAAAGCAGTAATCACCTCGCCAGTAACCTCGAGCGGACGCTTTGGACTGGAGAGCATGTTGGTGAGCGGCAGCAGGAGATCGGCACGACTCTGTGAGGACCGGCGGTAAAAAAAATTACGTCGAGGAGCCAGTACAATTGAGGGTGGGGAGCTTGTGGGGGAAAAGCTTGAATAGCTTCAAACATAGAGGGCAGTGCGCGAAAGTCTTCGGAGTCAACATGCAAGTCAGGTGCTGTAAAATGCACAACCAGAGCCCATTTGTGTGAACTGATGATGACGTCGTACATGTCGAGGCGGTCAAATATCAAGGAGAGGTGCCTCTTTTGTACTTTGCGCCCTGACCGGCGACGAAAGTCCATCTATGTTGGAGTAAATAAATGTCAGGTCACGTAAGACGCGGTCGATGGACCTCCTCTGAAACGTTTGAGTAGCGCTGCGAAAGCTGAAGGACATACGGGTGAACTCAAAGAGGCCAGATAGGCTAGTAAAACAGTTTTTGGAATGTCCCCTGGGGCAATAGGTGCCCGGTAGAAGGCGGGCACCAGGTCGATGTTTAAGTTAGCCGCTTTGCTGAAAAGGGCTCTAGCGAAGTTCTGAAGATGAGGCATTGAATACCGATCGGAAATGGTGGTGTTGTTGAGTGCACGGTAACCACCACAGAGTTGCCAGTCGACTGAAGTCGCCTTAGGCTCAGGGTCTCTTAGATCGTCATATGATGCTGAACTACAGCATGTGTTCAAACCGCTCCCTTGCGGCCAACGCCAGTAGTCTAGGCCGAGCAAACACAGGAGGGTTTGATGTGCGAATGTGGTGAACAACGCCGTGCTAGACTTCGCCACCGCTGCACTGGGGGAGCATTTGTCCGCCTGTGGGTGGAGAGAAGCGTTGGAGGAAGGCAGCGATCGGCTGGAGTTGGAGAGGCCACGATGATCTGGGTTCTGGTGTCCACGAGGAAACGTAGGCGATACAGACTGTCACAGATGTCAATTGTACGACTAAGGTCAAAAGAGTGGGAGAAATTGGCTGTACTGGTCTTCGGACTGACCCGCCTCACCCATGGGCTCTACTTCAAGATGAAGAAATGCGGCGACATGTTTTGGCACCAAAGGTGATATATTAGCTACTGACAGATGTGCTGGATCTAGATGCATAAGTATGCTGAGCTTGCAGGCTGAATAAAGTCGATGAACTCTCTGGCAAACAGGAGAGAGAGGGAGGCTAGAACGTGTGCAAAATCTGATATCTGTGACTCCAAGTTCGAGAGAGAGAAATCGCAGGAGAGGCTGAGGCAGCTGCAAGCACGAAAAGAGAGGGCTTGGCGAGACCGCGCATCTCCAGGAGCCGTTTGGCCATCAGAGTGATTTAGACAGCCGAGAAAAAGTCGGAAGCGGGTGCTTGGTCATGGTGCGTTTTGAAGGAAAGTTTTCCATTGTAAACTGCTGAATATAACGGAGACTGGGAGCGAGGGACTCTAGTGTTCCGAAGGGGTCACCACTCGTTGAAGTATAATAATCAAGAACCCGAAGGTTCCCCAGGGGCGACAGTTAAATGGACAGGCCTTACTGGGGCGAGGAAGCGCGCACGCAGTTCAGAAAGCGTTTGCGGCAAACGAGCGAGGTTATAGCCCCCCGCAGCCAATCGGCGGACGCAGCGTCGCATGGTCTCCAGACCCCGCCACGGCAGTCCCAATTCACCAGCGAAATGACAGGATGAGTGTGGCGAACCGACAACGGCATGGATGAGTGAGCGTGCTTGTTGCTTCCACCTGAACACTGGCCTTCTTCTCCAGGCAGCTCACTGGCCGAACCACGCCGAGATAACTGGCCACGAAGTACTCGCCCTCCTCCTGGTCGTGAAGCATTCTCACCACTTCCTAAGTCCTGACTTCACTACTAATTTTTATGGATCACAAACCGTAGAGGTTTATACTCTGATCGTCATGAAACTAGCCTGCCTGGACTACATCTCACAATTTACCACCACCAACAAGTCCTCCAGCGCCACTGACACTCCCACAGCCGGTAGAGGCCGTCAAGTGCATTTTCCTGATCACT